AACACCGGGCGCGCATGTCCTCGATGCAGAACTTTCTGGACCACTTCCGATCTATCCGAACCGATCCGGATCGGCCAACGTGCTTCGGCCTTAAGGCCCGACTTTGCCACCCCGTGAGGCCCGGTCGCCGCCTTCCGAGAACTCAGCAATTGCGCGGCTCACCTCTCGCTCTCTCCCCCTGTCTTTCTCTCCTTTTCTCGTAACATTGAGTTTTCGATTACTTTTCGCTAAAGAAGCGGTCCAATTTCCTAATATCCAACGTTTACTGGAATTATCGGGGGATCGGAGGGGGTAGGAATTGGGCCCGATAGAGGTATGACGTGTTGCGGGTCGGTCCTTTGAAGTCTTATCGCTCGTGACCGAAATGGCGACGTTTCTTTTGATATTTCTTCATCGACCAGGTTTTCGGAGGAATGTCGCGCTTAATCGCGCACCCACTCGAGGAGAGTGAGTCAGTTTACGCGAAATGGGCCCGATAGAGACATCGGCATTTTGGGGGCCCAACGTGTCCCCATGGGGCAAAAAGAGGCAAAAGTCAGTCGAAGAATTTGACCACGGGTACGGTCAATTCCCGAAAACGTCAAGCCTGCGGAGTATCTCGATGAGAGGCGAATATGCCGAAAGATCAAAGCGGGCTCCAGGAATAGGCCTCACATGTGAGGCCCAGGGATAGAGCGGGACAGAGTGGCACCGAGAGGGGAGAGGCGAAGGAGGGAGCGAGAAAGGGCACCGGGGAGAGGTACGACCGCATCGAGCGGCACGCAGACCGCCGGAGTGGGGGCACCTGACCAACAGGTACGGTAAGGCCCCCCGTAAGGCCCACTCATTGGCTCGGCCCACTCCCCCACTCCCGGCCAAAGGGTCCGTTCCTCCCTTGCCGCGTACTGCGCCTAGAAGTGCGGACAAGCCGTGGACTACCCAGAGGCACCTCATCCCGTGCTAACTGCGAGGGCCGAACCTGCCTTTTCCGCTTCTTCGAGTCGACGTAACTCCTTACCCTCGAATGTTACAAGAAAAATGTTCCAATAAAACTTGCTCAAAATACCACAACGCGTGAATTTTGTCGGAAACTATTTTTCATAGCACTTACTCCGGCCACGGAAACGGAGTATTTCCTCCCCACGCGCAGATGCATGTGAACACTTAGGGTGCGATTTGAAAATTGAAAATTTTAATTAGCGAGGATATAAATTGACCTCGCATTTATGAAATGGTGCAATTAAATCTTGGGGTATTAGAACTATTATTAGAGTACCGGCAAGAAACGTTTGTCCGGCTGGTTTCTGACATCGCGGGAAGAATAACGAAGTCGCGGCAGATTCCTGGAAACCAAGTCCTAGAGGACACGCGTTCCAGCTTCGCCGTCGAGTAACGAGAGCAGCCAAGTTGCTCGACAGCAAGGCAGCCGATGTACGTACATACGTATGTACATCGTTTTTGTTTACGCTGGATTGCTTAGCTACCATGAAGCCAGCGAACCGCTTTTTGCGGCTCTTCTCCAGTGGGGCCCAGGTGCCCCCTACAGGATCGATTGGCTGCATCGCTGGAACTCTGCGGTTGCGGGCATCTTGGAAGCAATGGTGGCGCATCTCCATCAAGAACCTCGGTAGAGACTCATCCGAAATTACATTTTAAGAGGCGAGCGATACGGCGATACATCTCGAAACGCCGCAAAGACGTATCCGGAACGCACGCACCAAAATAACATCCTACAAGAAATCTAAAAGCTTCCCCAAAACATACGTACCTCTATACAACAAAACCATCCACATTGACGAAAGCACAACCCAACCTCTAAATACAAACCACGCACATCTACCTCCCAAACTTCCTTCAGTCATTTTCACTTCACACTTCATAGAAATTCGTCCAAATCGGGCGTTTCTATTAAAAATTCAAGCTCACACTTTTATTTCTTTCTCCCGGACTATTGTCGATCACAAGTACCTACGTTATGTACCATATTGTACGTGCAAAGCGCGGATTTATCATGGGAATTTAAGGTGATCCGATTTAACTGTTCGTGGGTCACAATAAGTTACTCCCTTCGCAGGGCGAAAATCCCGAACGAGATCTCTGGACCCATCTGGGACGTCAGAGGAGGCTGCGCGGCCTGGACAACTATTTTAAGCCTGGGACTGTCGGGGGCTATTTGGACAATTCTTGGAGCGATGGCGATGAGATCGAAACTCGTCGGCGGCGACACGTAGAGATCGGCGCGATGAGAGGCCCAATTAGGGCCCCGGGTCCATTCAGGAGGAAACATCCGGTGCGCTAAATGGCCGGGCGGAGTGAAGATCGTTGTAGCTCGGTGCCCCGGGACTCCGGGCCCGTTGTTTCGCGCGCTGATTGGCTGGCCAGCTCCTCGATTGCGCCCGTCGGTCGTTCGTCCTGGTAATTAGGTCCTTGGAGGCCTCGGAGGACCGCAAAATCGAGAAAATAGTGCCGCGGCCGCTCGCCGAGAACCGGCGGCCAACGGAACGAGGATGACCGCAACCAGCCACCGACCAGTTAATGACTCTATGCACTCCGGAACGCCGTATCGATTATCATTCGACGCCCTATCGAGGACCGCATCCGAGGGACCCCCGATTCGAAGGTTTCCCCGAGATGGGCCCGATCGCTCGATCGGGTCGCATCCATTAGACCCACGATAAGGCGACCAATAACTTGCTCATTTAACGGGGCGAAATGGGAAATTTCGCGCAGATACCTGATTTAAAATTAAAAAAAAAAAAAGAACAATGACATCCTGGCATATTTTACGTGAAAGATAACGTACCGTGACGTTTTAATAAAATATATGGTCTGAGTTTGAATGACGAGGTGGAAATGCATTTAGCTGATATGCAAGGATACCACCGATGAAGTGGCCAATCTTCGTGTGGTTGCAATATTTTCCGCGAGTTCTCAGGGACGATGTATGTCGATTTTTAAGGAAATTATAACTTTGTGGTCCTTACGTGTAGGATAATGTACTGTGGGCGTTTTGGACGAGTGTGGATGATATGAGGAAATAATCCATGACCGGTGGTCGAGTGATGAGCAAAATTGGTATTGGGTTTGTAGGGTGGAGTGCTGGTCTTGGTCTTGCAAGGGTCAGGCCTTGGTCCTGCACTTTTTGTAAGCTGTAACTTTTAGTAAGACCAAGTCCAAGACCATACGACCGAGACCGATTTTGCTTATCAACATCCTGGTCACACTTGGTCTCAAGAAATTGGACGCGCTCATCGTTCCCGGCGGCTTCGCGTGCCAAATAGCGAATCGGAGGAGGTAGTCACACGTGTTCCTGTAAACAGATCCGCAAGGAGACGCGGGTCCTGAGACATGCTGACAGTTGGGCGTAGTCCTGGCGACGAAGGGCCAGATTTCTGGACCTTTCGCGCCGCTCGCAGCTTCCGAGAGCTCCGTGGAGAAATCCGACCTCGAAACGCGGGACGAGGGCCAGCTTCTTCCGCAGGAATGCCGCGGTCGACCGGCGGAAGTTGTTTTAAGCTCCTCGAGGACCGCTCCTTGGAAGCCTCGGGAAAAACGACACATCCAAGAGCGTCGGTCGGCGAGAAGTGCACGTGGCGACGCGTCACCATAAGGATAGGGAGGAAACGTCGTCTCTCGGGGTGGACACGTGGGTGGAAATCATGGACTCAAGACGGGGCGAAGCTAGGAGGACCTACTGGGATGGACATTAGACGTCCTCCACGCATATTGAACGAGATGTCCAGGCGCGTTCCAACGAGGAATCCAAGGAGTCGTTTGTTCAACGATCGCAGGAGATAAAATCAATAGATGTTAATGACAAATTTTAAAAACGTTTATTTCGATCGGGTGGAGTTACGCGGATCCGCTGGGGTAGATCGCGGACGTCCACCACTCGGGATGAACAAGATGTCCAGGCACGCTCCACCGAGGAGGGATAGGAGTCATTTATTCCACCACGGAGCGATAAATAATTTCTGCGCGTTTATCGAAAACCTCGAAATCATATATCTCCCCCGGAATCACGGAATCGAGACAAGTGCAGCCGATCGGTCAAAGTCGAGCGCCGAGGCGCGCAGCATCCAGCGTCTTCGTCAACCCGGTCGATCTTCCGGCCGGAAGCGCGGTCAACTCCACGCGTGGACGCTCAAACCGCGATCTTTCTCTCTCTCCGATCGCCCCGCGCTCTCTCGCGCTTATAAATCCCCATTTACCGCCCCTCGATTCATCTCGCTTTCTCTCCGTCCCTCCGGAGCAGGGCGGCCGCGCGGGCCGCGGGAAGGGCCTCGCCGGGAAGGGACGGTTGGTGCTAGTTGAGTTGTCGAGCTGACACGCGTTCTCTCTCCTTCTCCCTCTCGGCGGGTATCCCTCTCTCTCGGTGGGTCCCTCCCACCCCGGGCCCCTCGTCTCGCCCCGGTCCACCCTCCTCTGTCTCTCTCCCACCGCCGGCGGTCCCCACCACGCGGTCCGCTCGGCGTCTCTCTCGCGCCTCCAGCGGCCTGCCTCTCTCTCCCGGCCGCCCGCGCGGCCGGCCTCTCTCTCTCTCTCGCTCTTATTTTGAGTTTTCTCTCTTCGCCTCTGTCGCACGCCCACTGGGAATGCGCGAGTCTACTCCCGGCGGTGCCTACCCCTCTTCCCGAGGAGGACTCAGTACCGCCATACCCGCCAAAGCATAAGCACCGTGACAGGAGGCCGCCTTTGCTCGCGTCGACCCGTGACCGTTCGCGCCCGAGAGCTCGGCTCCGCTCGGCCCAGCCTAACCCGGCCCGACCCGGCTCTTCGGCGCTGCCCTCGACGGGCCTCGGGAGAGCCCGCCCGACCGTGCCCGACGACCCGCGAGAAGTGCGCGAAGGACCGGGGTGCTCCAACACCCCACGAGGTACCCCGCATCCTCGCCGGAGACTCAACCGGTCGAGGTCCACGCGAGACGACGCGCGTGGAGTGCCGAGGACGCCATCGGCGGTGGTACCGTCGTGCCTCGCGGACGGCGTCGGAGTGACGCGAGGGTCCCGGCGCACCCCTCGTGGTCTCGCGCCGGGGTGACATGTCGGGTGCCGAGTGACCGCGCGGCCAGGGCGAACCAGCGGATGGTGGATGAGAGATCGATTCGATCGGCCCGACCCCTGGATCCCGGGGCATCCCCTCGGCGGAGCGACGAGGGTGCCCATGGTCCGCGGCGTTTCGTCGAAGAGAGATCTGACAGCGCCTCAGGATTAATTCGCCCCTGGACGCCGCCGGCTCGGGCGATGCGCGAAACGGGGGCGGCCACCCCCAGGAGGAACACCTAGACGTCGAGACCTTCGACCCCGACCCCGAGGACGGGGGTCGCCTCTCGGGCACGGACTATGAGAGCCTCCGACCGCGTCTCGACGCCAAGATCAGGGCGACGGCGCCCCCAGGTGCCCTGATACCGACGGGTGGACTCCGGGTCGCCACCATGCCCGAGAAGGAGGTGGCGTACCACCAGGAAGCCTTCTCCCTCCTCCCGCCCCCGCCTCACCACCCGCACTCGGCCTTCCACGCGGCCTTTCACCCGCACCCCCATCCGCCCCCGCCGCCCCCTTTCCACCCACATCACGAACCCCCGCCGCCCCATCCGGCCGTCGCTGCCGCAGCCTGGGAACATCATGCAGCCGCCGCCGCCGCCGCCGCCGCGGCTTTTCACGCCCCTCCGCCTCACCCGTAAGTCCACTTTTACATGAGATGCCGCGAAAAATCGGTTTACTAGCCATTTCGCCGCGCCTGCTGATCGACTTTGCGTGGGGCCACGATTGTTTGGCACTTTTCATTTCAAGATCATTGGAAAATCGATTTACGCGCCATTCCGCCGTGCCCTTAGGTCCACTTTTACGTGGTGCCGCGATTGCTTGGCACTTTTCATTTTTACTAGATGAAAGTTGTGAAAAATAGGCCCACGAGCCACTTCGCCGCGCCTGCTGATCGACTTTGTGTGGCGCCACGATTGTTTGGCACTATTCATTTCAAGATCATTGAAAAATCGATTTACGCGCCATTCCGCCGTGCCCGTAGGTCCACTTTTACGTGGTGCCGCGATTGCTTGGCACTTTTCATTTTTACTAGATGAAAGTTGTGAAAAATAGGTCCACGAGCCACTTCGTCGCGCCTGCTGGTCGACTTTGTGTGGCGCCACGATTGTTTGGCACTTGTCATTTCAAGATCATCGAAAAATCGAATTCCGCGTTACTCCGCTGAACTCGTCATGAAAACACACGTTTCAAATAGGTCGACACGGTTAACTGGTTAAATGACTTTTGTTGATTTTTCTTGTTTCAAGTGATATAAAGAAAAAAAATAATTGTTCCCGCGCTCGTACAGTCGACTTTTGTAGGATATCGTGATCGATTTTTCTCGGATCTAAAAAGAGATTACTCCGCCTCGTAAGTAATTAAACTTTTACGATGCCACGGTCGATGGTCGCTGTTTTTTTTTTTCCCGCAAATTGATCTAGAAATACATAGCGTAGGATCATTTTGGTAGTCTCCTGTTGAATCTCGGGAATTTTTAAAGGCGGTCTTTCAAGAATTCCTGATTACTTTGGGCCACGTTGAGTTTAATCGAGTTACGTTGCGGCCGACGAAGTGCTCCGATAGAAAGCCATTACGATGGCTCCGAAGAAACGCGGAGGTTTAATTAGTTTTCTAGCCAGCCTCCGGCGATACAGTTCGACACTCTTGTGAACACTTTTTCGTGGGTACGCCTTAACCTAGCATGGCTGAGGAATGCAAAATAAGGAGAATCGATTGCGCGACCCGGTGGGGTGGGTGGTAATTAAAATAATTATGCAATCTCCGTGTTTATTAACGTTTTATACCTTTGACGGAATAATCATAGAATTCGCGACAGGTCGAGTGCTCTGCCCGAACAGTGATCAGCACCTCGGGCATTCCGGCTGCATCGTGGAAACCGCGATATTGATAGATTTAGTAAATGATTTACGTAGCCGGTAACAAGTTTATAAGATTATCCAGATGATAGGCGGCCGAGTGGTGGGAATAGGCGAGTCGTAATTATCCTACCAGAGCGCCGAGTTATCCTGGGATAAAATTCAAACGCGGATCAACCACACCTCGGCTTGGTTCTTGCTTGCCGATTATATCTCGGGCTACATTCGAGCATCTATATCTATTGAATGGTGGCGTAAATTACCCGGGGGACTTGGCGAGAAAAGAGAATATCCGCCGATAAAACGATAAACGCCCGACTAAGTTGCGGCTGCCAACACCAGAAGCTTCGCCCATTGCTCTCCGCCTTTTCAACTCAAATCCAAACCTTAATCCAACCCACATCATTATCAACGCTTCAATACACTTTCGCTCGACCACCACTTCGATATACATGATAAAGAGTCGCAACATAGCAGAGATCAAATATTAGATTTTCTTCAAAGTCTACACCGAGGGGCATGTCTCATACCGTTCAGCCACGCAAGATCTCGGGCAAGGTTAATATTTCATATTAATAACCGCCTTTCGCTCTTAATGGCCGTTCCCCGGTCTACGCGTAGAATTCCTATTTCTGGTTTCGCCGGATCGAATTCCGCGCCAGAAAAGTTCCTCAGGGACGGATATCGTCGGCCTTTAATGCGCGGCTTAGAAATCAAGATGGCGTCCCGGACGGCCAGAGAAGCCGAGCGGCTCCCGTGTAGTCCGTCGGCTGGCAATCGACGCCGTTAACGTTAATTATGTCGCCTAATTTGCGCCGGCAAATTCCCGCCTAGGCCGGGAGACGCGTCGCGTCTGCGAATACCTGCGTGTCGAGATTCGCGGCGTTTACGTCGGCGAGGACGCCTCGAGACGGCGAGCAAAGCGTCGCCGACCGGGCCGGATTAAGGCGACGTCTTAATCGCGCTAATTAAGACCTTTCACCGGTTACGGCGACGGACGTTTTCGCGTTCCGCAGACACCGCACGCGTTAACTACGAGATAAACCGCGGAGACGCCGCCATTGCGGGTACCAGCGTCTCTTCGACGCTGCACCAAAATGGCGCCCGGCTGGAGAACGCTCCTCGTCCTCCTGTGCCTTCTACGAAATCTTTCAGCCTTCCAAACACATGCCATCTGACAGTAAACATTGCCAAACACCATTGACAAGTGGTATTAACACGGTGAATAATTGCTTTTTTCAATATTTTCGGCATCCAAGTTCGCCAAGTCGATCGGGTGACGCCGCGCCGCCATCTTGGTTGCAGTCAAGAGTCCGCGCGATGGCGATCGCCCATCAGAGTTTCCTCCCGTTTCTCGACGACTTACGAAATGCCGCGAAAAACGCGACAAGAGTCTGTCGATCGAGTAACCGTAATCCCTCCTGGCGCGACATAAAACAGTCCGAGTTGAATTGAGTTAGTCAGGTCGGTAGAGCGAAGGAGTCGCGCTCGAACATCGTAATGGCGACCCCTGGTGAAGGTTCACCGATTTTTGCCCCACCTCTTCCTCTATTTATTTCGAACGCTTACGACGCGAGAGGAAAAAGGAGGTTAAGTAACGTGATTATCTTGTCGCCTTGCGAAAAGAAAAAAAAAGTCATACGTTCGGGATATTTTCGTCTTTTTTAAAAATAATTAATTATTAATGTATATTACTAATAATATGCAAAATGGCGAGGTGTGGGAGACTTGGTCTTGATCCGTGCCCGATATGTTAATGGCGAAAGTTGGATTTTTCTTGGTTTTCTTCAGGGTCTCGTTGGGTGGCAATCTACCGATAATGCCTATTATCGGCGGAGCTTAACTCCTTTCGCAAGTTTCTGCGAACCGGCCGATACAGGGTGCAATTTCCATTGGACGTCGCCGTTAACGTTAACCCACGTGGAATATCGCCGGTTATTTTACGCATTTGCGTTTTATCACCGCCATGCCGGGATATCGGAAGCCGGTATCGGTCCCGCGGCATTTAACAGCCCGTTACGGATTACTTCGCCATTATTGTTAACAATGGTTAATGGCTCTATAAGACATTGAAATTTGATGGAAGGTTCTACCATTCCGTATAAAATGGCCAAGGAGTTAATTTCGATCTAGCTAGATCGGTGATTACTCTTATATCCGATGTGCCGCGCATAAAAGTAAGTCTGGAAAAGTCGTGCAGAAAAAATACCTGGAATATATTATTTGCATTGTAAAGTCAATATCGTTAACCCTCATTTTCCTCAAGATATTAGCCAGGAATTAAGGGGGCGTGAAAGTGACATCCGAGGGGTCGATCGTTCACGAAACTTTTCTCCGAACTGGGCGTATTAAATCGTTTCAACCTTTCCAATGTAAATATGGAGGCTATAAGGAAGGTCCTGACCCTCGTGAAATTTCATTTTTTATAACAAATGTAAAAAATACCTATAAACAAATGAAAAAAAAAAGAAAAAAATTGAAATTTCAGAGATTTCGAGTTTCAGGACCTTCTTTATAGTTTCCATATTCACATTGTCGAGTTTGAAACGATTCGGCACACTCAGTTCGGAGTTTCATAAACGGGACCTCTTCACACCACTTTCACATCACCTTAAATGGGATGACTTAATTACCGGAAGCGATAAAAATGCGCCGCCATTTTTAAGGAATAAGTGCATTAGGGGCGAATAACGAGGACGGCGAGGTGCATCTTGCAGAACCTCTTCCAGGCCTTGATAACTCGAAGCGAGAACCCGAAGAGACGACATACGGGTCGTCGCTCCTTCAGAGCCGACAAGCCAATCAAAAGACATGCCGAAGACATGCTGGTACTCCTCAGGAGTCTTCCACGGCGTCATTAAAATCCCCATGCCCCGTTGGAACGACTTCCTACATGGGACCGTCCCGAAAGAATAATTATCGATTTACTTGATTTCAAAAAAAGAAATTGGACCCACCTCGTCCAGTCCATATCTTCCCAAATTAAGCAGACGTGAAATGTCCCCCGAGTCTCCTAACCTCGACATGCGCAATGTACTTCCTCATATGGAACACCCGCCTCCAACATGACTCTCGATGCCATTAAAGTCTGAAAGTACTTAATTCATCCAACATCGAAGCCGCATATCGATCCGATGACACCGCTTTATCCATACTTCCTCATACGAAAAACGCGCCTCCGAAATAACTTTCGATCCGTCATTAAAGTCTCAAAGTACTTAATTCATCCAACGTCGAAGCCAGATAACGATCCGATGACACCGCTTTATCCATACTTCCTCATACGGAACACGCGCCTCCGAAATGACTCTCGATCCGTCATTAAAGTCTCCGGGTCTAATCGGCGAATCGATTTATCGCCGCGGGATCTAGCCGGTGCCTGGTGAATGATCGATCAGCCGCGAACGGGGGCCGTCGGGAGAGCGACTTCCGTCTACGTGGACACTTCCCAGGGTGCTAGATTGCCGGCGATTTTTCTCCACCATCCGATGGACCGGGGAGTGTCGCGCGCGTATGTACCACCTGCCATCGGCAAATGGCGCCGATTAGTCCTCGCGGATCCTCTCGATATCCGTCAAGGATGAGGGGGCCCTCTCCCTCCACCTTTGACTACCGTCCGAGAGGGAGAGAGAACGCGATAAACGGCTCCTAGCACCCTCGCATCTTCACGCCGCGAGAGATACGATCCGCACGCGCGATTCATCATCGGCGCGGTTCGCGTCCATTGATAAATTCCTGGCATTCATAACTGCCCATGTAGGATGGCCGTACGGAAACC